ATTATGTTCTGTGTCTGTGTTAATTGGTTTCCCTTTTCTTTGTTGAAGAGGGTCTGTGCAATCCTTCTGCCTAGTCCGCCATCTTGCCGGAACCGTGTCCAGCTCTTAACCTTTTAAGAGAGTTTGATACCACTTATAAATGGCTGTGGTTTTTAGGCTTATGATTTGAAAAGTTTAACGCATTTTATGGTGATACAGTGGGGAGAAGATGAAAAACATATTCTAGTATATATATGTATATGCTTTACTCCAGTTCAGAAGCAAGATTGGGCAATCTACTTCCATAGTGATATCGCCTCAGAAACCCAGGGAGGGGTCACTATGAGTCAGATCTGACGTGATGTCAGTGAGTTTGGTTTTTGGTTTGATTTACTTCAGTAAACTATAATCTGTTTTTTTATTTTGTGAAATTTGAGAAAAGGAATACAACTTGCCAATCACATATACTCAGGTGACTCAAATTTATAATGACATGGTTAGACTGCCAAAGTGTTTTAAATTTAATTTGAATGATTAATAAAAGAACTTTTATTTTATAGAAATAGTCAGATGCTTGATGAAGATAATATTTTGGATGAAACATCAAAACGCCCCTTGATTAATTCGCCTGATGAGAAAACTAGTGCCTCACAGCTGACAGAAAGCACAGAAATTGCCAGTACCTCAACTATGACTACACATTGTATGGTGAGAAATTTAAGATCTCATCCATTTATAACATGTTCATAAGTTATTTTGAAGAAAGAAAGGACGACTGAAATTAGACATATCATGACAAAACTGCTAGCATTGACCTGCATTTTTTGTTTTTAAATAAAACACTGTTGTTGCTGTTGAGTCGGCTTTGACTCAGCAACCCTGTGTGCAACAAAATGAAACACTGTTCGGTCTTGCACCATCCTCACAATCCTTGGTATGCTTGAGTCCATTGTTGCAGCCACTGTATTGATCCATCTTCTTGAGGGTCTTCCCTTTTTTTACTGACCCTAAAGCACTTGAGAATATAATACTAGTCCAATACTTCAACTAATAGGAATAATGTATTTTTTTCTTTGAGAAATTTGACTAACCCATCCATAGTTGCAGGTGGATTTTTTAATGATAATTTTCTGCAGTGAATAATCTCAGAAATTAATTAAGGATAAATGATAATTTTCAGTAATTAACATATAGGTGCCTTTTTAGTCCATTCTAGAGGAATGTGGAGACTTTGGTAAGCAGCAGCCAAATTTTGTCCAAAGGAAAAGAATCCTTCCAGCTTGGATGTTAGAAAGTATAAGTGATCAAAATCTTTCAGCACCAGTCATCAGTGAAGGTAAGTTTTTTTTGTGTGCTAATGCCAAGAATTTTAAGAAAATATTAGATAGAATTTGAAAGCTTTTCTGAAAAAAATGAAAATGGAGTAGTGGTTAATTGTACAATTTAGCCTAAATCATTTTTAGATTTGTACATGAAGTTTCACTGCTATTAGTAAGGTTTTCACTGGCCAATTCTTTGAGAAGTAGATGGCCTCTTCCTTCTTCTGAGTCTGTCTCAATCCAGAAGTTCTGCTGAAACCCATCTACCAGGGCAAACCTGCTGGCATGCGAAATACTGGTGGCACAGCCTCCAACCTCATAGCAACATGCAAGCCACCACACCATGACAAACTGACAGACAAGTTCGTCTCCCTTAGCGGTTCCAAACCTCTCTGCTCACTTCCTGGCTTTCTCCCAACCTGTTCCAGTTGTTTGCTGGTTGCCGCTGCCTGCCTAGTGGCTGTCCCCTCACCTGTTCTAGCTATCTGCCCTGGACATTTTATTGACTTTGTGTTTTATTGATTATGCAAAAGCATTTGATTGTGTGGATGAAAACAAATTATGGATAACATTTAGAAGAATGGGAATTTCAAAACACTTAATAGTATTCATGAGGAACCTGTATATAGATCAGGAGGCTGTCATTTGAACAGAACAAGAGGGCACTGCATGGTTTAAAATCAAGAAGGGAGTGTGTGAGGGTTGTATACTTTCACCATACTTATTCAGTCTATATACTAAGAAAATAATCTGAGAAGGTGGACTATATGAAGGAGAACATGGCATCAGGATTGGAGGAAAACTCATTAAGAGCCTGTGATTTGCTGATGACACAACTTTGCTTGGTGAAAGGGAGGAGGCCTTGAAGCACTTACTGATGAATATTGAAAACTACAGTCTGCAGTATGGATTACACCTCAATATGAAGAAAACAAAAATCATCACAACTGGACCAATAAGCAGCATCATGATAGATTGAGAAAAGATTGAAGTTGTCAAAGACTTAATATTACTTGGTTCTACAATCAACACCCATGGAAGCAGCAGTCAGGATATCAGATGGCATACAGCATTGGGCAGATCTTCTGCAAAAGACCTCTTTCAAGTGCTGAAGAGCAAAAATATCTCCTTGAAGACTAAGGTACACCTGACACAAGCCATGGCATTGAAGACCAAAAAAGAGTCGATGCTTTTGAGTTGTGGTGTTGGCCAAGAATGCTGAAAGTACCGTTGACTGCTAAAAGAATTAACAGATCTGTGCTGGAAGAAGGGCAGCTGGAGTGTTCCTTGGAAGCAAGAATGGCTAGACTTTGCCTCACCTACGTTGGCCATGTTGTAAGAAGGGACCACTCCCTGGAGAAGGATGTCATGCTTGGTAAAGTGGAGGGTCAATGAAAAAGGGGAAGGCCCTCAACAAGATGGATTTATACAGTGGCTACAATGATGGGCTCAGGTATGGCAAGGATCATGGGGCTAGCACAGGACCAAGCAGTGTTTTGTTCTGCTGTATATAGGGTCACTATGCGTTGGAGAGGATTTGACGGCACCTTAGAACAACAACAACATGAATTTTAATTTTAAAAATAAACCATTTTACACCATTTATGAAACACCATTCTGTAATTTTTTTTTTTTTTTTAATTAACAGGCTTTATTTATCTGTTAAGTCTGTGTATTAGTTTCTTGAGCTGCCATAACAAATTACCACAACTTAAATACCCATCAGAGGATGAATGGATAAACAAACTTTGGTATATGCACATAAAACCACACAATGTTAAAGAAACAATAAGACTGTGAAACATCTCATAACATGGATGAACTGAACCTAGTGGACATTATGCTGAGTGAAATTAGTCAATCACAAAAGGACAATTGTATGAGATCACTATTATTAAAAGTTAAGAAAATCTTTGCACACAAAAGGAAATATTCTTTGATGGTCATCAGGGGTGGGAAGGAAGGAAGAATAAATCACTAACTAGAGAGAAGACACATATGAACTTGGGTAAAAGGAAACTCAGTATATAGTAAAGGAGATAACTGTTTTACAGCTTAATTGTTAAATTTAAAAAATAAAATAGCAAATTTTTAAAAAAAAATAGGTATAAATTGTATTTGAAATTTGTTAACAAAAACTAATTAATTCATTAATTACATAAATATTTACTGAGTTTGTGTTATGGATCAGGCACTATGCTTTTTGTACTGAGGATATAACCATTAACATAAATTCTTTGTATAGCCATGTACTCTGTTGAAATTTTCATTAAACTTACATGGTTTATAAAAATAAAAAAAAACTAAGACTCAAAAACAAAACAAAACAAAATAAAATAAATTACCACAAAGTTGGTGGCTGAAAACAACACAAATTTGTTTTCTCATGGTTTGGAGGCTGGAAGTCCAAACTCAAGGTCATGTTCCCTCTGAAGGTGCTAGGGAAGAATATTCTCTAGTTTTTTTCCAGCTTCTGGTGGCTCTTGGCAGCCCTTAGCATGCCTTGGCATATAGCTGTGTCATTTCATTCTCTGTCTTCATTGTCACATGGCTTCCTTCCCTGGGTGTATCTTAGTTATGTCCTCCACTCTTATAAGAATACTGATGATTGGATTTAGGGCCCACTCTAATCCAGCATGACTTTGTCTTAACAAAGTACATTTGCAAAGACCCTATTTCCAAATAAGGTTACATTTTGAAGTTCCAGGTAGACTTTGTGGTAATTTGTTTTGTTTTAGAGTTTTATTCTTTTTATTTTTCCAAGTAGAGTTGAATTTCAGGGAGACATTATTTAATTCATTGAAGTCTGTAATTATAGTCTTATGATACTAATACAGATTTTCAAACAAAACTGTTGGTGTCATATCCAAGGTAAAAGGCTGACCAGCACAATCAAAGTTTTAATTTAATTTATTTCCCTAGAAAATGCCAGGCACACAATGTTACAGAGAAGGGGGATTCAGAGAAGATATAAACCCTGCCCTAATTCAGCTCACAATGATTTATGTCTCCTGTGGTGTTTCTATTGTTTCAAGATTTTAAAAATATTAACTACATCATCTTATTTGGGCAACATTTTATTTATTTGGAAGTACTCACTTATCAGCATGGTTAATTTCTAAAGACCAGGTCATTATGCGAAAATCAGCGTTATGTGAAAATGAAGTATGGCCACATTAGATCACAGATGGAGGGTGACTACATTATTACAAAACTGCCAGATTACATCACTACATAACTGCCGAACCACTGAGAGTCATGGCCCAGCCACATTGACACAGAACCTTAACCTTCACAGCTGGTGTTATTCTCAGTGTTTGTTCCTGCTAGATGTATGTTATTAATGGGCAAATAAGTTGAGTAGATTTTTTTTTCATTTGGTCATAAATGTAAAATGTTGGATAAGGAGATAATTGATAAGTGAGAAGTAGATGTAATAGAAACCTACTTAAACTAGTTTAATTAAAGGAAAGTTTGTGAGTTATATGAGGGTTACTCCCCAAATCCAAGTGTGGAAAGAATAATCCTATCTTACAGGAAATGAAGCTATCAGACAACTCCTCCCTTCTTTGCTTCTCTGGATACATCTCTATTTCTCTTCTCTGCAAAGGCTGTTAGTTTCTGCTCACCTATGATTTTGCATGTGGCTTTGGCTTGCCTCACTTCTTAAATTCACCCCACTCTATTGTCCTTAAGCCTTCAATACTAATAACAGTGTCTCACTGTGCCACTGTGTCACTTAATTCCATATTTTCAAATAAGAGGGTCTACCTGGCCTACTTTGAGCCCAGTTCCCCCAGGTCGAGTTTTTGTAGAAGGGTGTGTTCAGGAGGGAAATGGTAAGCATCTCTTTATGTGCATATATGTATATGTATACATATATATAAGAACTGGTCAAATAGACCTGGAAGTAGTTTTAAAATCTTGTTCTGTTACGTAGTATACTTTTTTGAGACTATTAGTAATAGGCTGGACATTCAATGTTAGAAATAGCAATAAATAGAACTGTGATAATAAATTACTTTTGAAAGATTTTTCTATACAATATTTTAAGAAAAAGAAAACTATGTAGGAAAAAAAAGACTTCTCAAATTTGACCACTGTCTTTTAAATTTTCATTGTGCAATATTTCAAAAATAAAAAGAACAATATGTGTTGAGCCTTCATATACCCACACACTGTTTCAACAATTAACAGTATTCTGACATTCTTAGTGAACCATGGCATTTTAAACCCAGTCACTTAAGCTGAAGGTCAAGGAATAAATTTTCTCATACTGCAAAGCCTGATATGATGTCTGCTCTCACATGTCTCCTAGTTCTAACCCATTCTCAGCCTCATCATGATCTTACTTCAGTCCTTCATAATTTCTTATAGACTTAAGCTTTGTGAGAGTGCCTCTAAAAGCAAGATTAGTATTCTTAATTCCTTGAAAGATAAAATGATTTAGAAGTATAGTACTTTAGTACTTGAATTTAAAGTTAAGAAGACTTTGGAACACTTACTGATGAAGATAAAAAACTACAGCCTTCAGTATGGATTACACCTCAACATAAAACAAAAGTCCTCACAACTGGACCAATAAGCCACATCATGATAAATGGAGAAAATATTGATGTCTACAAGGATTTCATTTTACTTGGATTCACAATCAGTACTCGTGGAATCAAGAAATCAAATGATGTATTGTGTTGAGTGAATCTGCAAAAGACCTCTTCAAAGTGTTCAAAAGCAAAAATGTCAGCTTGGGAATAAGGTACACCTGACCTAAGCCATGGTATTTTTAATTGGCTCATAGGCATGTGAAAACTGAACAATGAATAAAGAAGACTGAAGAAGAACTGATGCATTTAAATTATGGTGTTGGTGAAGAATATTGAGTAATCCATGGACTTCCAGAAGAATTAACAAATCTGTCTTAGAAGAAGTATAGCCAGAATGTTCCTTAGAAGGAAGGATGGTAAGACTTTGTGTCATGTACTTTGGACATGTTATCAGGAGGGGCCAGTCCCTGGAG